AAAAAAAAAAAATTCCAGTATCTATACCGCCATTTGTAGACACCAACTTTCACTTAAACCAATTAATTCACGTATATTGGGATTTTTTTTCTTTTTTTTTTTTAGTAAAGACACGGAGCAGGATACATTTTGGCCTAAATTTCTGACAAAATTTTATTAATTTTTTTTTACTGGGCGCGTTTGATAGCAAAAAAGTGTTTTTTTTTTTTCCTCAAAATTGTCGCTTTTTTTTTTTTAATAGCGCAAAAAATTTAAAAACACACAGGCTTTCAAAACACCACCGAAAGAAAGCTCTATTTGTGGGAAAAAAAAAAAAAAGGACGTAGATTTCATTTGGGTGCATGACCCCGCAATTGTCAGTAACGCAGCGCCGTATCGCAAACAATGACCTGGTCAGGAGGGGGGGGGGGGGGGGAATCTTCTGGAGGGCAAGTGGTTAACATTTGTTTTTTCGCCCCATTCCCATAGAACGAATGTACATTCACTGGGTGAACTGCTGTGCAACTTTTTCTTTTCTTTTTTTAACCGCTTTTCTGCCACCCTATAGCAGAACCAATGCTACAGGGCGGCAGGGCTGCGCAAAATCACGTATATATATATATATACACACGTCATTTTCCATTTCCGGGTAGGGTTGTGCACCCTACCTGCACTGCCTCCAAGTCCAGCATCACTGATGGGGGAGAGGTCTGTATGTAAATCCACAGGAGGGTAAGGGGGGGAGGTAAATCCACAGGAGGGTAGGGGGGGGGAGGTAAATCCACAGGAGGGTAGAGGGGGGGGGGGCAAATTCACAGGAGGGTAAGGGGTTAATAAACAGAACCCAAAATATTGTAACACATCAGTAAAATAAAAAAATAAAAGCTTTTCCTGTCCTATAATCTCCCCATTCCAGAGAAATTCTTATCAAGGATCATCTAACTACGTCTCAAAGACTTTCATATACAGGCGACTGTCACTTGAAAAGATTGGCAGTTGGGTCAAGGAGAGGAGATGCAGGTGTCCCATCGGGAAGAGTCTCTATAAATCCGGTGGGGCGCTCACGCTGACTGAACTATACCCAGGATCCTTGTATTTCCCGCCCACAGCGGCACCGCCAATCTTACCTCTGGGATAATAGATGTGATGAAGTCTTCATGGTCAGCGGTAAGGAGCTTCACAATATGGATGAGACACTTCAGACGAGGCTGGAAGAAAGGAGAAAGGATAACTTTCCTTGTACAAAGAGCCGCTTATCTCCGTCTATTGGGAATGCAGAACTACAAGGATCATGAGGTACAATATAAAAGTAAAGCGCGGCGTACATACATCGCCTATACAGGCGTACCTCGGTTAACGAACGCCTTTGTTTCTTTTATCTCGGGAAATAAACCAAAAGGAAACATGGTTTCTTTTAACTTGGGAAACAAACTACCGTATTTGCCGGCGTATAAGACGACCCCCTACTTTTCCTGCTAAAATGTAGTGTTTGGGCTATACTCGCCGTATAAGACTGCCCCTCTTCCAATGCAAAACAGTGGGAGGAATAGTGCCCCATCATCGGTGCAAGTGGGAGGAATAGTGCTCCATCATTGGTGTCAGTGGGAGGAATAGTGCCCCATCATCGGTGTCAGTGGGAGGAATAGTGCCCCCCATCATCGGTGTCAGTGGGAGGAATAGTGCCCCATCATCGGTGTCAGTGGGAGGAATAGTGCCCCATCATTGGTATCAGTGGGAGGAATAGTGCCCCATCATCGGTGTCAGTGGGAGGAATAGTGCCCCATCATCGGTGTCAGTGGGAGGAATAGTGCCCCATCATCGGTGTCAGTGGGAGGAATAGTGCCCCATCATTGGTATCAGTGGCAGGAATAGTGTCCCATCATCGGTGTCAGTGGGAGAAATAGTGCTCCATCATTGGTGTCAGTGGGAGGAATAGTGCCCCATCATCAGTGTCAGTGGGAGGAATAGTGCCCCATCAGTGTCAGTGGGAGGAATAGTGAATATGCCCCAGTTGTGCCCCATCATTGGTGTCAGTGGGAGGAATAGTGCCCCCATCATTGGTATCAGTGGGAGGAATAGTGCCCCATCATTGGTGTCAGTGGGAGGAATAGTGTCCCATCATTGGTGTCAGTGGGGAGGAATAGTGTCCCATCATTGGTATCATTGGTGGGAGGAATAGTGTCCCATCATTGGTATCAGTGGGAGGAATAGTGCCCCATCATTGGTGTCAGTGGCAGGAATAGTGCCCCTTCATTGGTGTCAGTGGGAGGAATGGTGTCCCATCATTGGTGTCAGTGGGGGGTGGAATAGTGCCCCATCATTGGTGTCAGTAGGGGGTGGAATAGTGCCCCATCATTGGTGTCAGTAGGGGGTGGAATAGTGCCCCATCATTGGTGTCAGTGGGGGGTGGAATTGTGCCCCATCATTGGTGTCAGTGGGGGGGGGGGGGAATAGTGCCCCATCGTTGGTGTCAGTGGGGGGGGAGGAATAGTGCCCCATCGTTGGTGTCAGTGGGAGGAATAGTGCCCCATCATTGGTATCAGTGACACCAATGATGGGGCACTATTCCTCCCACTGACACCAATTACACTTGCTGACCCTGTTCTCGTATGGTGCGGCTGCAGCCAGCATATATGTTTGCAGCAGCACCTCTACACTGGACACTTACCTGCTGCTCCTGCACTCGATTTTCGCGGGGCCACTCGGCTCCGCCCCCTCGCCGGTGATTGGCCGCCTGTGTGCCTTTCCTGAGCTACAGTTCTGGCAGCCAATCACCGGTGAGGAGGCGGAGCCGAGTAGCCGCCCGAACATCCAGTGGCCGAACTGAAGGAGCAGCCGCGCTTCCTGGACCGGATCGTCGTGGGATCGGAGCCAGGTAAGAAACAGCTCCTGCCCACCCCTGTACTTAGTGTCCCTTCCGTTGGAAGGGGGGGGGGGGGGGGGCGGCGGCACTGCGCCGCCCCCCTAAAAAGTGTCAGCATGCCGTATACCGGCGTATAAGACGACCTCCGACTTCAGAGAAGATTTTCAAGGGGTAAAAAGTCGTCTTATACGCCGGCAAATACGGTAATATACAATACGAAGTGTATGCCGGAGCCGATTTTTACATGCAATTGTTGGCTTTTTTTTTTTTTCTTCACTATAGCTCACAAAATTAGCTGCCACTTTCCCCGGAGCTAAAGGAAACATTGTTTAATTTATCTCGGGAAACAAACTAGGAAACATTGTTTCTTTTATCTCGGAAAACAAACTAAAACACAATACAAAGTGTATGTCGGTGCCGATTTTTAAATGCAACTGCCGGCTTTTTTTCTTCTTTCTCTATAGCTTGCAGAATTTAGCTGTCACTTTCCCCGGAGCTAAAGGAAACATTGTTTATTTTATCTCGGGAAACAAACTTGGAAACATTGTTTATTTTATCTCAGGAAACAAACTAAAAGAAAACATTGTTTCTTTTATCTCAGGAAACAAATACACAATGCGAAGTGTATGTCGGGACCGATTTTTAAATGCAACTGCCGGCTTTTCTTCTTCATTATAGCTCAGAGAATTAGCTGTCACTTTCCCCGGAGCTAAAGGAAACGTTGTTTCTTTTATCTCGGAAAACAAAATAAAACACAATACGAAGTGTATGTTGATGCCAATTTTTAAATGCATCTGCCGGCTTTTTTTTTTTCTTCACTATAGCTTGCAGAATTAGCTGTCACTTTCCCCGGAGCTAAAGGATACTTTGTTTCTTTTATCTCGGGAAACAAACTAAAAGGAAACATTGTTTCTTGTAACTTAGGGAAATAAACTAAAAGGAAACATTGCTTCTTTTATCTCGGGAAACAAACTAATACACAATACGAAGTGTATGCCGAAGCCAATTTTTAAATGCAATTGTTGGCTTTTTTTTTTTTCTTCACTATAGCTCACAAAATTAGCTGCCACTTTTCCCGGAGCTAAAGGAAACATTGTTTATTTTATCTCAGGAAACAAAAAGGAAACATTGTTTCTTTTAACTTAGGGAAATAAACTAAAAGCAAACATTGTTTCTTTTATCTCGGAAAACATACGAATACACAATATGAAGTGTATGTCAGTGCCAATTTTTAAATGCAACTGTTGGATTTTTTTTTTTTTTTCCTTCACTATAGCTCACAGAATTAGCTGTCACTTTCCCAGGAGCTAAAAGAAACACTTTATTTTATCTGTGGAAACAAACTAAAAGGAAACATTGTTTCTTTTAACTGGGGGAAATAAGCAAAAAGGAAACTCTTTCTTTCTTTTAGCTGGGGGGAAAGTGTCAGCTGATTCTCTGAGCTATAACAAAGAAAGAAAAGATGGTAATTACATTTAAAAACCTGCACTGACCTACAGTGACAGCGACTTTTTTTTTTACTTTTTTTCTGACCTCCAGAACGGATTAATTGGTTTTCAATGCATTCCTATTTGAAACGGCGTTTAGGTTTACAAATTGTTCACAATACAAAACATCACGGAGAACGCATTTGTGACGGGAGTCACTTTGGGTGGGGGGCCCATGGAACACAGCTCCCTTTGGGGAGGTGGGGAGACCCCTGTCTCAGCTCCCCATATCCCTCTTATGGGGGAGTCACCCTGTGCCTGTTAGGGGTACAGGGTGAAATGTTCTAATATTGGGGTGGGTGTTGTGGATTGTTCGGTGTCATGTGGTTGCATCCCATGTTCTATTGTGTATCTTGCTTGGGAGCAAACTATTATGGGATGTATGTGTTTATGTGTATTAGCTTAGTGGGCGGGGGGGGTGTCACCAGCAGCCCTCCCTCCCGATGGGACTGTCTGTTGGTGTGTCTCGTTACTAAATGTAGATTGCCCCGCCCCCTGTGTCATGTATCTTGTATCTGTGTTAAAATAAACTAGTCTACCTTCTGGTTTACTTCAGGACTGGTGTCGTCTAGTCTTGTATGGTCAGCGGTGGTGTCTGTGGTCGGTGTTCGGACGGGAAGCGGTGTTAGAACCGAAGTACCCAAGTGCAGTCTGGGGTCGGTTCCGTTACAGCATTAAATTTGTAAACCGCCTGTATAGTACATGTAATAAATAAAAATATATAAATCACAAGGGAACAAATAGTTCCTTATGTGCTGCATTTGTGGTGACAGGTTCTCCGTAATGCAGTGTTTCTCAACTCCAGTCCTCATGGACCCCCAACAGGTCATGTTTTCAGGATTTCCCTCAGATGAAACAGCTGTGGTAATTACTAAGGCAGTGAAACTGATCAAATCACCTGTGCAAAATAATGGAAATCCTGAAAACATGACCTGTTGGGGGTCCATGAGGACTGGAGTTGAGAAACACTGCTGTAATGAGACATCAGGGGTCTAAAAGAATGTCCTCCAATGAAGATAATGGAACACCAGGTGACACCAGAACCCGGGAGTGACATTTTACACAGGACCGGCAGTTCCCTGCGGATGGACAGCCGGCTTGTCAGATTTACAGGGGTGTATGTGTACAGCCCCCCCAAAGCCACATAAGCATGTCGGTGGCAGTAAAAGGGTTAATCCTGCAATTAGGTGTTTGAAACGTGTCACTTCTCCATGTGTCACTCGTGTGCCGTGTTAATGAATGATGGGAGTTTAGAAGACGCGGCGTACAGTCCTCCGGAGTTCTGGCACAGTAGTTGTCACCAGACGAGCCGGAAAAGGAGGAGCCACGCCCCTCGCGCCGGACAAGGAGGAGCCACGCCCCTCGCGCCGGACAAGGAGGAGCCACGCCCCTCGCGCCGGACAAGGAGGAGCCACGCCCCTTGCGCCGGACAAGGAGGAGCCACGCCCCTTGCGCCGGACAAGGAGGAGCCACGCCCCTTGCGCCGGACAAGGTGGAGCCACGCCCCTTGCGCCGGACAAGGTGGAGCCACGCCCCTTGCGCCGGACAAGGTGGAGCCACGCCCCTTGCGCCGGACAAGGTGGAGCCACGCCCCTTGCGCCGGACAAGGTGGAGCCACGCCCCTTGCGCCGGACAAGGTGGAGCCACGCCCCTTGCGCCGGACAAGGTGGAGCCACGCCCCCTGCGCCGCACAAGGTGGAGCCACGCCCCCTGCGCCGCACAAGGTGGAGCCACGCCCCCTGCGCCGGACAAGGTGGAGCCACGCCCCTTATATTCGTTTATAAAATCAGAGTACGGGTCAGGAAATATCGCCTCACCCGCTTGGCTGGAGAGGAAACACTTTTCAGGGAGCCCAGCAGAGTTTTCTTTAGTTCCTCCAAATTCTTGTTCACAAATTCTCCGCAAGGAGGCCTCTCCCCGCCGCAGATCTCCTCCAGCACTCTGTACGCCTTTTTCTGCAAGCTGTGATTTTTATCCTGAAGGAGACAAGAGGAGGAAATACAACATGAAAGAACGTCATATCACAGAGGTCTCATCACTGCACATGAAAAACAAAAATCAATGAAATCTCAATGATGGACAAATTCCAGCTTATGTGTCCAAACTAGAGAGTTCTCTACGCCACGTCTGGTATCCTTACTAATAAAGGACTAAAGCAGTGGTCGCCTATATGTGGCCCTTGGAGTGAGGAATAACTCCTCCCACTGACACCAGCGATGAGGCACTATTCCTCCCAGTGACACCAATGATGGGGCAGTATTCCTCCCACTGACACCAATGATGGGTCACTAATCCTCCCAGTGACACCAATGATGGGGCACTATTCCTCCCACTGACACCAGCGATGAGGCACTATTCCTCCCAGTGACACCAGCGATGAGGCACTATTCCTCCCAGTGACACCAATGATGGGGCACTATTCCTCCCACTGACACCAGCGATGAGGCACTATTCCTCCCAGTGACACCAATGATGGGGCAGTATTCCTCCCACTGACACCAATGATGGGTCACTAATCCTCCCAGTGACACCAATGATGGGGCACTATTCCTCCCAGTGACACCAATGATGGGGCACTATTCCTCCCAGTGACACCAATGATGGGGCACTATTCCTCCCAGTGACACCAATGATGGGGCACTATTCCTCCCACCGACACCAATGATGGGGCACTTATCCTCCCACGGACACCAATGATGGGACACCATTCCTCCCACTGACAAGAATGATGAGGAATTCTTCCTCCCACTGACACCAATGATGGGGCACTATTCCTTCCACTGACACCAATGATGGGACACTATTCCTCCCACTGACACCAATGATGGGGCACTATTCCTCCCACTGATACCAATGATGGGCCACTATTCCTCCCAATGACACCAATGATGGGCCACTATTCCTCCCACTGACACCAATGATGGGACACTATTCCTCCCACTGACACCAATGATGGGACACTATTCCTCCCACTGACACCAATGATGGGGCACTATTCCTCCCACTGACACCAATGATGGGGCACTATTCCTCCCACTGACACCAATGATGGGGCACTATTCCTCCCACTGACACCAATGACGGGACACTATTCCTCCCACTGACACCAATGACGGGGCACTATTCCTCCCACTGATACCAATGATGGGGCACTATTCCTCCCACTGACACCAATGATGGGGCACTATTCCCCCCACTGACACCAATGATGGGGCACTATTCCTCCAACAGGATACCAATGATGGGGTGCCATCAGTGAGAAGGTGGCTGCACAGGAGCGAAACTACTTCCACCTGACACCGGTCAGCTTTTCAGATTTACGCACATTCCGGGGGCTGCAGTGTGTGTGTCCCCCCCCCCCCACAAGCCACTGCCACGCATAGTAGTAAGGGGGTAAAAGTCCATCCATTAATATTGCAAGATGAAATAATAAAACAAAAATAAAACCTGCATTTTATCTGCAGAGAACTTCGTATGACAATCTGTACTCTGCATTATATACATCTGAATGGTACAACAAAACCTGCTAAACCCCCGACACAAAAACATCGATTTTCTCAGAGAATTTCTAAGATATTGTTTTTCTCCATTTGCTATTAAAAGGTTAATGAGAGGAAAGTTCTCTGAGCACTAATTGCACAAAAGTCCCTGTAAATCCTCATGCACACTGGGGAGGGAGGGGGGGGGGGCACTTTAAAAACTGCAGTAGCATCAGCTGTACTAAGTCACGTTAAAAACGCGAGTCTTTCCACATTTTTTGTATTAGCGTTTAGCTGCTGACTTTTAAAATAGACACTTACCTGTCCCTCGGTCCCGCGGTGTCCTCACCACAGCTGGTGTCACCGGCCGTCTTCTCTCCCCGGCGCTGACATCTTTAGTGTGGGCACCCGGCTGTGACAGCTTGCGGCTTCACAGCCGGGTGCCCACTGAGCATGTGCGAGAAGCGCTGCGCTTTGTGAATGGCCCCCGTAGTCTTCTGGGACCTGTCACATGTCCTTGAAGACTACGGGGAGGAAAACGTCCGCTTTCGATCGCCCAGGCGACAGCAGCGGAAGTGGGTACCTATCAAATTCGGGTACCCCCTCCCCAAAGGTGCCAATCCTTAACCACTTCCCGTCTGGCCGCAGTATATAAAACGGACAGACGGTGGCAGTGCAGGGGCGGGTTGTGGTTCATATACAGCGCCCACTATTTTGGGTTGTGCGCGTTCCCTGGGAGCGCACAGTACCACGATCCGGTGCCCGCTGTGTCCAGGGGACACAGAGGAAAACTGATCGCTGTACGGGACCTCTGTGTGAGGTCCCAAATATGTGATCACTGATTGGCCAATCAGTGATCACATGAATAGGTGTAAGCAAGATGTCACTTCTGACATCATTGCTTACTACTTGTGAAATCTGTGAATGATCACCGAGGTCACATGGTACAGGGCTATTCACAACAGCCTTGTACCATGTGACAAGCTGTGACCAATCACAGCTCTCACAGTATTTCTCAATGGCTGCAAGAGTGCAGCCAGAGAGAAGGAGAAATTATTGCTTTTACAGCCTTTATGGGTGCAAAAAGCAATCAGTGAAAAAAAAAATCTTCATCACCCCCCACAAGTAGTACAGTGTCACTATGGTAACACTGTATACTGCTAGGGTGACAGTATGTTTTAAAAAAATATATATATAGATAAATATATATAATATAAAAAAAAAATAAAATGTAAAAAAAAATTTAGAAAAATTATAATTTTTGGTTATAAACTAATTTGGGTTATTTTTTTTACTAAAAGGATAACTGAATACATTTTGGCCAAGATTTATGAAGAAAGATTATTTTTTGCATAATTTTATAAGAAAAACACTTTTTTTAAAAATTTTGTGGACATTTCATTCATATAGCAAAAAAATCCCAGCGGTGAATAAATACCACCAAAGTAAAGCTTTATCTGTCTCAAAAAAATGCTAAAAAATTCATATGGATACAGTGTTGCATGACCGCGCAATTTAATTTAAAGTGTGATAGCGCTGAAAGCTGAAAATTGGCCTGGACTGGAAGGGGGGGAAAGTGTCCGGACTGGAAGGGGGGGAAAGTGTCCGGACTGGAAGGGGGGGAAAGTGTCCGGACTGGAAAGGGGGGGAAAGTGTCCGGACTGGAAGGGGAAAGTGTCCGGACTGGAAGGGGGGGGGAAGTGTCCGGACTGGAAGGGGGGAAAGTGTCCGGACTGGAAGGGGGGTGAAAGTGTCCGGACTGGAAGGGGGGGAAAGTGTCCGGACTGGAAGGGGGGGGAAAGTGTCCGGACTGGAAGGGGGGGAAAGTGTCCGGACTGGAAGGGGGGGAAAGTGTCCGGACTGGAAGGGGGGTGAAAGTGTCCGGACTGGAAAGGGGGTGAAAGTGTCCGGACTGGAAGGGGGGGAAAGTGTCCGGACTGGAAGGGGGGGAAAGTGTCCGGACTGGAAGGGGGGGGAAAGTGTCCGGACTGGAAGGGGGGGGAAAGTGTCCGGACTGGAAGGGGGGGAAAGTGTCCGGACTGGAAGGGGGGGAAAGTGTCGGACTGGAAAGGGGGGAAAGTGTCCGGACTGGAAGGGGGGGGTGAAAGTGTCCGGACTGGAAGGGGGGGAAAGTGTCCGGACTGGAAGGGGGGGAAAGTGTCCGGACTGGAAGGGGGGGGGAAAGTGTCCGGACTGGAAGGGGGGGAAAGTGTCCGGACTGGAAGGGGGTGAAAGTGTCCGGACTGGAGGGGGGGGTGAAAGTGTCCGGACTGGAAGGGGGGGGGAAAGTGTCCGGACTGGAAGGGGGGGAAAAGTGTCCGGACTGGAAGGGGGGAAAGTGTCCGGACTGGAAGGGGGGGAAAGTGTCCGGACTGGAAGGGGGGGAAAGTGTCCGGACTGGAAGGGGGGGAAAGTGTCCGGACTGGAAGGGGGGGGGAAGTGTCCGGACTGGAAGGGGGGGGATAGTCCGGACTGGAAGGGGGGGGAAGTGTCCGGACTGGAAGGGGGGGGGGGAAGTGTCCGGACTGGAAGGGGGGGA